AGAGAGAGAGAGAGAGAGAGAGAGAGAGAGAGAGAGAGAGAGAGAGAGAGAGAGAAGTCTCACGTCCTAATCGACCTTGATCCTTGCCTCTTCCTAACCGGCCCTACCTGAGACTTCCCGTGCCCCCTTGCGGCCTCTACGGCCCTCGAGTGGATGAGGGAGGTGATAAGCGAGGAAGGGTTGAGGTGGTCGACTATGGTGGATGGGTGTAGGTGATAGAGGTGGAAGAAGGGTTGGGGGTGGTCGGGTATGGTGGACGGGTGTGGGTGATGGACGAGGAAGACGGGTTGGAGGTGGTCGGCTATGATGGACGGGTGTGGGTGATGGAGGAGGAAGAGGGGTTAGAGGTGGTCGGCTATGGTGGACGCGTGTGGGTGATAGAGGAGGAAGACGGGTTGGAGGTGGTCGGCAGTGGTGGACGGGTGTGGGTGATGGAGGAGGAAGAAGGGTTGGAGGTGGTCGGCTATGGTGGACGGGTGTCGSTGATGGAGGAGGAAGAAGGGTTGGAGGTGGTCGGCTATGGTGGACGGGTGTGGGTGATGGAGGTGGGAGAAGGGTTGGAGGTGGTTGGCTATGGTGGACGGGTGTGGGTGATGGAGGCGGAGGAAGGGTTGGAGATGGTCGGCTATGGTGGACGGGCGTGGGTGATGGAGGAGGAAGAAGGGTTGAGGGTGGTCCGCTATGGTGGACGGGCGTGGGTGATGGAGGAGGAAAAAGGGTTGGAGGTGGTCGGCTATGGTGGACGGATGTGGGCGATGGAGGAGGAGGAAGGGTTGGAGGTAGTCGGCTATGGTGGACGGGTGTGGGTGATGGAGGAGGAAGAAGCGTTGGAGGTGGTCGGCTATGGTGAATGGGCGTGGGTGATGCAGGAGGAGGAAGGGTTGGAGGTGGTCGGCTATGGTGGACGGGTGTGGGAGATGGAGGAGGACGAAGGGTTGGAGGTGGTCGGCTATAGTGGACGGGTGTGGGTGATGGAGGAGGAAGAAGGGTTGGAGGTGGTCGGCTATGGTGGACGGGTGTGGGTGATGGAGGAGGANACGGGTGTGGGTGATGGAGGAGGAAGAAGGGTTGGAGGTGGTCGGCTATGGTGGACGGGTGTGGGTGATGGAGGAGGAAGAAGGGTTGGAGGTGGAAGGCTATGGTGGGCGGGCGTGGGTGATGGCGGAAGAAGAAGGGTTGGAGGTGGTTGGCCATGGCAAACGGGTGTGTTGATGGAGGAAGAAGAAGGGTTGGGGGGTGGTCGGCTATGGTGGACGGGTGTGGGCGATGGAGGAGGAAGAAGGGTTGGAAGTGGTCGGCAATGGTGGGCGGGCGTGGGTGATGGCGGAAAAAGAAGGGTTGGAGGTGGTCGGCTATGGCGGACTAGTGTGAGTGATGGAGGAAGAAGAAGGGTTGGGGGTTGGTCGGCCATGGTGGACGGGTGTGGGTGATGGAGGAAGAACAAGGGATGATGGTGGTCGGCTATGGTGGACGGGTGTGGGTGATGGAGGAAGAAGAAGGGTTGGGGGTGGTTGGCTATGGTGGACGGGGGTGGGTGACGGAGGAGGAAGGAGGGTTGGGGGTGGTTGGCTATGGTGGACGGGTGTGAGTGATGGAGGAGGGAGGAGGGTTGGGGTGGTCCGGCTATGGGGGATGGACGTGAAAGAAGGCCCGTTGGACGTATTCTAACTCCTAGCCCCGTGACTCCGTTTCCTACTTCGGGTGCCTGCCTGCCCCATATCACTTTCGGAAGTCACAGGTCAAGGCAAAAATGGGGAAGGGACCGAACTGCCGCCCACACACACACACACACACGCACATACTCCGAATGTCACCGAGTACAGCCAGGGGTAAAGGTGGACTGCACAAGTTGCCGGGAACTGCAGCATTCACACATACCCACACCGAATGTTACTGGGTACAGCAAGTGGTAAAGATGGACTGCACAAGTTACCGGGGACTGCAGCACTCAGACATACACACACCGAATGTTACTGGGTACAGCAAGGGGTAAAGATGGACTGCACCAATTACCGGGGACTGCAGCACTCGCACATACACACACCGCATGTGACTGGGTACAGCAGGGGGTAAAGGTGGACTGCACAAGTTACCAGGGCCTGCAGCACTCACACATACACACACCGAATGTTACTGGGTACAGCANATGTTATTGGGTACAGTAGGGGGTAAAGATGGACTGCACCAGTTACCGGGGACTGCAGCACTCACACATACACACACCGCATGTTACTGGGTACAGCAGGGGGTAAAGGTGGACTGCACAAGTTACCGGGGCCTGCAACACTCACACATACACACACCGAATGTTACTGGGTACAGCAGGGGGTAAAGATGGACTGCACAAGTTACTGGGGACTTCAACACTCACACATACACACACCTAATGTTACTGGGTACAACAGGGGGTAAAGATGGACTGCACAAGTTACCGGGGACTGCAGCACTCAATCATACACACACCGCATGTTACTGGGTACAACAGGGGGTAAAGATGGACTGCACAAGTTATCGGGGACTGTAACACTCGCACATACACACACCGAATGTTACTGGGTACAGCAGGGGGTAAAGATGGACTGCACCAGTTCTCGGGGACTGCAGCACTCACACATACACACACCGCATGTTACTGGGTACAGCAGGGGGTAAAGATGGACTACACAAGTTATCGGGGCCTGCATCACTCACACATACACACACCGAATGTTACTGGGTACAGCAGGGGGTAAAGATGGACTNNNNAAAGATGGACTACACAAGTTATCGGGGCCTGCATCACTCACACATACACACACCGAATGTTACTGGGTACAGCAGGGGGTAAAGATGGACTGCACAACTTACCGGGGACTGCAACACTCACACATACACACACCGAATGTTACTAGGTACAGCAAGGGGGAAAGATGGACTGCACAAGTTATGAGAGCACCTTAATCCAACGGAAAGTTCACCGAAGCATCCCAAGGGAATTCGCAACTTAGACATGCATCAAAGTCAATGAGGGCACAAGTTTGAGAGCATCTAACCCAGCGGAAAGTTCACCGAAGCATCCCAAGGTAATTCGCAACTTATACATGCATCAAAGTCAGTGAGGGCACAAGTTTGAGAGAATCTAACCCAGCGGAAAGTTCACCGAAGCATCCCAAGGTAATTCGCAACTTAGACATGCATAAAAGTCACTGAAAACTCCACCCTTGAAGTGTCCACACAAGGGGAAAGTTCACCGAACTATCACAAGATGAATCGCAACTTGCCCAAGTACCCAAATCAGTGAAAACACAAGCTTTGAAGCAATCTATGAAAAGGAAACATCACGGAACTATCACAAGGTGAATCGCAACTTATCCAAGCCCCCAAATCAGTGAAAACACAAGCTTTGAAGCAATGTATGAAGAGGAAACATCACCGAACTATCACAAGGTGAATCGCAACTTACCCAAGTACCCAAATCAGTGAAAACTCAAGATTTGAAGCAATCTATGAAGAGGAAACATCACCGAACTATCACAAGGTGAATCGCAACTTACCCAAGCACCGAAATCGATGAAAACACAAGATTCGAAGCAATCTATGAAGAGGAAACATCACCGAACTATCACAAGGTGAATCGCAACTTACCCAAGCACCCAAATCAGTGAAAACACAAGATTTGAAGCAATCTATGAA